TGAGTTCTTCAGAAAGTTCCCGACTCAGAGACTCATATTGAGACTGTAGATCAATGTATTTCCCAGTGACGCTTGCAAGACTGGCACCTATAGTCTGGATATCATCCTGAAGATGTCTCTTCAGAGATTCGATTTTACGGTATTCATACTTAAGCTGGGAAAGCTTGTGCCTCACATTTTCATTTTCTTCTTTGTACCAAGCTTCTTTTTCATTATAAATGGAAACCAATGCATCTATGTCCTCCTGCAAAGAATCGTGAGACACAGCTAGAGTACTAAAACCACGTTCCATCAGAGAAATGTCTTCTACCACATGGGCAAAGCGCTCAAAATTGATGTAGGTGTTGTTTGGTGGCATACTTGAATGGCACTTTATGGTGTATTCTTTCAAACGTTTTGTTTTCAGCTGTGTATTCTCAGCCTTCTTGTTTTCTTGGACTTTTGTCTCTACCTTCAGCTGGTGAGTCTTCAGACAGAAGAATCAGTATTACTGATTTTTTTTAACAAGATAGTGCACTACTTGAAATTCTACACAGCAAAGGATGCAAACCGCATTTCCACAGTGCTGAAAGATGTTAGGCTCCCAGACATTCCCTTTCATGCATTTGATTAAAAGTGAAAAAGGGGGTGTGACATTCATTCCCACACGATAAGGATAAATAAATAAGAGGACTGTGGGCTATTTTATTGCTAATTTTGTGCGATTAAAACCATTAATATTTGTGACAAAATAAATAATCCTGAAAAACACACCACTCCATGTTTTGTACACCACAATAAAAATGGAAGTTTAAACACCATCATTTGTCATGCCATGATTAGCCAAATTTACTTTCAATCAGAGAAATGCAAGCTGTACTTAGGACAAAACACACACACAAATCCAAGTACCAAGCAAATCAAGGTAGGTATTAGCTTACTACAGCAGTGGTATTTTTTTCACACTGATTTTGGTACATTCTCCACTCTAGAAAACACTACACAAAATGTATGTTGTGTGCTCATGCAAATAGCATATTGGAAAATAATAAGTTTTTTCTAATACAGAATGCTGTATGCTTATCAATTTGCATTTCAACAATTAATAACAAAACTTTAGCCTCCTTCACCATGTATTGTAATAAAAGATGTTGAAATTACGGCTTGCAGAAATCCAAGTTTTGCAAAGGACTGAACAGATTTTCACTGTTGTGTGCCTTGCAGCCAAGGATCTTGAAGTGTTTGACACCTGGTTCTTCTGCATAACATGCCATGTAGACTCAAGGCATTATTATTGCTTTTATTAATGCATGAAATTGAGACATGGAGAGGCTAAAAGGTCACTGTGGGGTTCAAACTGATTTTTGAAAGCTCACACCCATGGCAAGTTTTTTTTCTATTTAGGCAATGGCCTTCAGAATGGAAATATAAAATCCCATACAAATTCTGTACTAGCTTATCCTGAACTATTGTACATCAATTATAAAAAAGAAGACATAGGCAGTTACTGTATTTGATCTTACCGTTATCCAAGGATGAGAGAGTGCTTCCTGAATTGTGAGTCGCTTCCTACAAACAAACAAACTTATATGAGAAAAACCATGAATGTTAGCCCTTCTTAATATTGTTCCTCAGATCTATAAAGTGGTCATCAAACAGTGCCAAGACTCACTCTCAACTTTCAGGGCTACACTTTCCCTCAGGGCAGGTGGTTTGTATATGTCTTAGTATCTATTTTACCAAGCTTTCCAGTCAAAATTGCCAGCACTACTCACTTTCTCTTTCTCCTCAATTAAAGTTTTCACCTCTCTTACCCTTCTGGAAGAAGAGGTAAAACATTGTTGCTTTCGTAATATTTAACATGCCTAAAAAAGTGGATTCTTCCTATACAAGCTCAGTCTGACTTTTTATGAATCAATTTATATCATATTAATTGCATCTAAAAGTCTTTAGAGCTCTTGCTATTAAATCTCCCCTGGAGCTGGTGCTTCCTGAAGGCAGCAATATTGGCAAGGATGCTTCAGTTCTAATCAAGAAATCTAACTTCCTCCTGTCCCATGGCAGCACTGCTGACAGTACACTATCTATCTCCCTCAGGAATAACAGGCAAAAAATGTAGCATTACCCTTGCAGTTGGCAATGAGACAAATATCAACAGGGTGGTCTGTCTTTCTTAGAAGATACTGGTCAGAACTATGCAAAACATTCCTATCACACTCCAACTTGCTACAGCATATGATGAGATATGATGTACAGAGATGTTGGCAGAGGTATCTGACCCATTCCCTCCTTGCTCTTCTCCCTATAAGCCACAATGACTGCCTTCTCATTACTGAATTTTTAGGGGTCCCAGGGCACCATGATTGCTTGCCATTCCACACCATTCTGCAGAAGAATGGTCCCTAGTCTATTTTTCAGGAAAAATCAGATGACCCCTTCTCACTCCTACAAGGTGATTATTTAAAGGACTCAGCACAAGGCATTTTCCTATAGTCATAAGCAGGGTACCTTCCCCCTACTACAGGAGTGGAACTACAGGAATAGAGCCCAGGGATATTCAGATTGCCAGCACTGAAAGCTCAACTACGGTTGAAAAGTCAGGGTGCTCAGCTGATACATTATCTATCACAAGTATTGAAAACTGTGGATGCCTCATTCTATCCTCTGTTTGGTCCATTTTTGCACTGGTTTGACTGAGGAAGAATTAAGATTGGCATAATCCTGTTGATGATATAAGAGGCAGAAGAGAATATAGCTCCATTCAAATAATGTCTTTGCAGCTGCAGAAGAAGATGGAAAAAATCCTCTGCAGTTCTGCTTTGCTTCCAGTTTCACCCTGCAGAGTTCAGC